AATTATATATATTTTTATATAATTATATATAAAATTTTTTTTCCCGGGCATGCTTCATTTACAAGTCAGCTCCGGCCTTTTCTATTTGATTAAGAATGTAATCCATGGACATTAGTGTGGATGACGGATGACATTTCACCATTATGCGAAAGAAATTGCCCAGGTTTGATCGCGGTAAGGACGCATAATCGATCATAAGAGATCCATCCAGAATCAAACGTTCTCTTATTTCTACTGTGACAATGTATATTCTCTCCCACCAAGTTGGAGTCTCTTTTGCATTACGCATGCTCGGAGGTATGTACCTAAAAGAATCCAACACGATAAAATTACGAATTTTGCGGAAATATATATAAGATTCCTTACCAAAAACAAACAGTGGTACTATCATATTTTTCCAGTACAGAGCGAAAGCCATCGGTCTTTTTAATCTGTAACAGTAAGTATTTTGCACAGAACATGGCTTTATCCACCAACTGCTGTAAACCGCTCATGCCATGAGCTTTCCACATTAACCAAAATTTCATTGCGTCGACCTTGAGACATTTTATTGTATTATCAAATACTTAGCCATAAAAATTGAATAAAATCTTAATTGTTTAATCATCGTGTTTAATCTTTTAAAAGAATCTATTAAGTGTCTTTTAGATGTCTTTTTATTTCTTTTGCAAAGAGTCTTAAATAGTTTTGAAAATGTAGTATTTCTAGGGATGGGAATTAACGCGTTATTTGTAATGCCGTTATCGTTACCCATAATCTTTACAACAATAAATTTTTATGAAATATATAAAGAAGTAAAACAGCTTTTTACAATTTACTTTCTTATTTCCTTCTACCATCTTGAATCCATAATTTTAATATAAATTGTTACTCTAATAATAATAATCGATATATTTTATTTAAAAAAATAGAAGTTATTTATTACTTGAATATTTGTCAAAAAAAAGATAGCATTACTTATTATTTAACCTCTATTAAATATTTAACTTTTGTATTTTTTTTTAAATATCCCATCATATCGTCGATTAGATTTCCGAATTTCTTTTTATCCCTAAATACAAATTACAAGATCTAAAAATTTAATTAAAACCCAAATTACAAGAGACATAGAGTTTTAAAATATCACAAAAAACACTAGTCTTAGAGCCGCATTATTGCTACACAGATTTTAAATAACTTTAAACTTTTTGCTGTCTTGCGAATTTAAGATAAAAAATTACTTTCATTAATATTTTTATATTATTTAAAAAATATTACGAAAGTAAATTATTTATTCAATTTGCTCTTGTTTTAGCATTAAAAATGTGATGGAAAAAGTAATGAATCGTTACTTTTCGAGTAACAGTAACGGTAATGAGCTACTTTTAAAAAGTAATTTTTCCATCCCTAGATATTTTGTGTATACTTATCAAATAGATTGTGACTTGTAATTACCTTTCTACTGTTTTGTATACTCTTAGCACTCGTATCTAAGCAGGATACAAATGTATAATGTTTTTCGTCTTTAATTATTGTTTTTAAATAAGATTGTACACTCGCATCACGACTTTGAATCAAAATCATAGAACACTGATATGGTGCGCCGAGCATATTATGCGGATTCCAAGTCACCGAGCACGAACTACATCATTCGAAACAAAGAGAAGATAACTGATGATTACTTTGTATCAAGGAATTTTAATTTTAAATTTTCTAAATATAAATACCGCCAAAGGAAGAAAATATCCTTTGAACTAGTAAACATTGTTCAACATTTTATTAAACCGATTTCATTTATTTCGAATAAATCGCGTACGTAAAACAATTATCTAGGATCGATATACAGATCATTTATAATTCGATTGATATTTGTTATGAATGATCGTTACGGTGACATTGAATTATAGAATAGTTGCTTCTTTTTTCAAGAATAATTACAAACCGTCCAATGCTTCGTAATCTATGTCGGAAAATGTTGGAGAACATCAAAGGACCACAATCGCGAGCCTGCAAACAATTTTTTATTCATATTGTTTCCCTATAATTCTAATATCTTTTATACTGCATACGAACATCTACGAACATCTACGTGTAGCCATAAGGAATATGTCTGACAAATGTCGAATATTTTCCGCAACGGATCGATAGCCCCGAATACGGGAGTGCCGGCAGTGACGTTTAGAAAAAACGGCTGTGTCCTCAGTATTGACGCTTTCTTTAAAACTCTTTTCAGATTATTTACATCCATGCGACCAGACTTATCCGTTTTTACCTGTAACAAAAAGAAATGCGATTATCAACTCTAATTAAATTTAATTTAATCGAGTTTAAGAGAATATCAGCAAGACTGCCGAACTTTAATAGGATTAATACTATATTTTAGCGATGAAATGCAATTTACACACGTATATTAACACATCATTACCTATTACATACAACACACTTTATCGGAGAGATATCCTGAGAACGTCTTCAGGACGTTCAAAGGACATAGGAATGTCCTTTGGGCGTCTTTAGGACGTCCCTTTGAAGTCTGTATGGGGATCAATACCGCACGCAGCATATGTATAAACTTTCATAAAGAATTTTTGAATCGAATTAAGCGTCTAAGTCCAATTCTAAGAATTCGACGTTGTTTTTTCGTGTTAGCTGCTAGTCTGGAGACTCCAATTTCGTAAAAACAGATTGTAGAGTTTTTATATCAAGCAAATTTTGACAGTTTTTACATAAATTAAACTGTAAGAAATGATAAAAAGGATCTCGATTTCAAAACTTTTTTTTGTTTTTGACATAAACTACACCAAATTATTAATGTATACTTCAATTCTAGAAAAGAATTTTCAAATCTATAAAAGTAATACATACAAAAAATACATATACAAAAATTCTTTACAAAAATTATTGCGTTCAATCGGTAAAACAGACGCCAGTATCCCTTTGAAGACCAAAAGATTTTTTTTAGTATTTAAGAAGAAAAATTAATATAATAAATATGTGGATATCATCTATAACTACATATTTTTTGACAAACATTTGTTCCAGCTAAAAGTAAAATAAATCTATAATTTAAAAGCTAACTTTACACTACTTAATTAATAATATATAAATAATTAATCAAGCTATTCACAAATTATATTGATAGAAAAAAACTAATGAAGTAGATTTGTAACTGAAGTGGCATCTGAGCTAAATCAAATCAATTCAGAAGATAATAATACAGGTAAAAATTTTTAATTTCAAAATTTTATTCTAAAAAGTAAATAAAAAGAGCAGGTAAAAATTCTATTTCGATAAACAATTCCTGTCCTTGACAAACAATAATAATACCGTGTAAACGTTTTCGGTACCAAAACCCAACCAATGAGCAGCTGTCATAACGGAGTGATAGCCACATTCACTGGTAAAACACGATAAAGGAGTACTTGTTAGATGTAAGCCCTGTCTATTAGTTGGATACAAGGAACATGCTTCTCCTCTAGCGGCCATCATTGCATACATGATCGATACAGTGTCATTCGGCGTTATTATACCATCGCTGCGAAATGGAAAGCCCATCAACTTCAATGACGCTTGTATCACAACCTTCTCGATCAGCGTAAATACAGGAGCGTTTTCATAAGTATCTCTAACAATAAGAAGAACGGTCGAGAATTATAAATGTGAATTACAATTCAACTATTACTTAATTTGTAATTTACTTGATCTCAAACAGAATAAAAATTGTAAACAACTAAGAGTCAATACGTGGTTAAAATTAAAAACAGAGAATTATTTGAAAGGCCTTTTAAATAATTCTCTGTTAAAAATTGTAACATCAAAATGGCATCAAAAGTGGCTCTAAAGCGATTATATTAAAAGTCACTTTTCGATATTAGTCACAATTCCTTTTAATGTCATCATTATTCCGCCTGAGATATATCTCAAAAAGACAAATTCTTTAAGTTATTTCTGAAACCATTGTAAAATATGATTTTTATTTTAAAAAACCAAACTCTCTTTTCCCTATTTTAAAGTCTTTAATACGCATTAATTAAGATTATAAAGTTATCTTTTTAATCGCAAATTATTAGCAGTATTATATGTAAGAAATGATAACAGCATTAATTAGTAATCACATATTTCTTTGAAAAAAAAAATACAAAGCATTACATTTCTCGATCAAAATAGACACTCTACAGCCGGTTTATAGTCAATAATCGATTCTTCTCTTTGAGACTGTCTTAAGTACAGTCTTAAGATGTCATAAATCAATCAGAGGATTATATATTAGCATGTTAAAACATTACTTATGTCTTACAATATAAACGGACTATGAACACCGTCATATATCTACTAGTATTCTTAATTGTTTGACTAATTGGAATTACATTTACATGCTAGTGTTCAATGTTTCCATTAAACAGGAGCCAACTAATCCATACTCGTCAAGGCCCTCATACAATTCATTATGAAAATGCGGACTGGGCGTTTTCACAGATCGTCGTATAATCTGTCGTATTACGTCTTCGATTTGCTGATCGCTTGCTGGCTCATTGTCCAAAGAAAATGATATCTCCTTCTGAACAAAAATAATGTTGGATGAGAAGTTCATGGTGATAAAAGATTTTAGCTAGATCGAAGCTAGATCTGGAAATGGTATAAAATTCACATGTAATTATTTAAATATTAAGATCCAGCTTTGATCGGTATACACTTCTTTTCTCGCTTGTTATATATTCGCATTGTACGGTCCCAATAAAATTTTATTGTTGTAAAAAATTTTCTTATTCTAATCAGCCAGCCATTATTATGATGTTACCACTATTGTGTGTAAGTACGACCAAAAGTATCGAATTCGTGTTGAGCTAATATATCGTCCTTTCAATGTTACTAAGATCACAATAGTAAAGGATAACAAGCTATATAAATATTTCAATTATTGTTTACTTTGTTTTAAACGTTGTTTAATATATCAGTTTTATAACAATTTCTTCATCAATTATTCACGTATGCATATATTTCGCATAGATAAATTAAACAGATGACTTATTTTGCATTTATACTTATTTGAAAAATATATAACATTATAATTAAATTATAAGACCAATTGTAAGATAGTAAATAGAAGTATAATGTAATGCAAAATTATATTATATAATAAAAGTATAATTTTCAAGTATTACAGATAAAAACATTGCCGTAATAGTATAATGTTGAAAAGCAAAGAAAAGCCAATGAGTAATTTAAACGAAAGCAGATTAATACACACATACACATTTAAAGTTGATTATTAACTTAAGAGATTAAATTATTATTTACCTGCAAATCTTCGGGATGAAGGGATTGTATGACAGGACGATCAGTTTGATCAAACGCTTGTTCTTCTTTAAGGATCTTTAAAAACTTCTCGAATAGCTCGATAACACCGTTAGCACTTGATGCTGCCATTACGAAGAGTAGGTAAATTGTAATAAAATGAACGCGATCAATCGATAAGTTCGACTCTCTCGTTGGATCCCTTCCATTTCGAATTGTTCTAAATGCTGTGTTTGTGTTTATGTGTGTGTATTTGAATTATTATTATAATGCGGCTGGTAATTCTCATTGTATGCTGTGTTATAACGATGTTATACTTTATATTTATTAATTATATAATAATTATTGTAACATATATGAAAATTTATCTGTAAGGATCCGTCACTCTTAAGTTGCAGTTCATCTGTCCGCGAGATTGATGTGCATTAACATACCAAATATTTGAAGCAAAGTTACATTTTATTATTAATGAAATAATTATTATTTCATAATCTTTTTACAACTTCGTAATTTGTATATATATATACTTGCATATCAATCTCATTCAATAAATAAACACCGAATAAAAGTTGTGAGTAATTTTTACAAAGAAATTGTGTGATTATATTGATCTCAATTTTTTTTATTTAATTTAATATAATGTAGCTTTCATTTTTTGATAAGTATAGTTTATTATGTTTTAATTCCATCTAATTACAAGTCAATGATATCGTTTAATATATAAACAGACTTTGAAAATGAGTGATTGTACAGGATAATCGATAATTGTTCTAACGGACTTCATGAACATATAAAGCGGACTAAACTAGGATAGAAAATCCCTTACCATTTTACAACTTTCGCAATAATTAACAAGATATTTATAATTGCTAAAAATTACCGAAAATTTGTTTCAATAATTTTTTATTCAAATACTATCAACTTTACAGAAAAACTGCAAGAGACAAAAATTATTTATTTTCTTCTCATAGAGCTCTAAGAATTTTTTTAGAATTTTTTCAGAATTATTTAATACCATATTTTTTTATGTTGATAAAAATGAGAAAATGCGGTACTAAAAAGTTGATAAAAAATTCTGAAAAAATTCGTAGAGTTCTATGAGAAGAAAATAAACAATTTTTATCTTTTACAATTTTTCTGTAAAGTTGATAATATTTGAGTAAAAAATTATTAAAGATTTTTCCAATTTTCGGTAATTTTTAGCAATTAATATTTTGTTAACTATTGCGAAAATTGCAAAATGATAGAGGATATTCCGTCTCAGTTTAGTCCGCTCTACATATCCATGAACTCCGTCAGAACAATTATTGGACACCCTATATCTAAGTAAATATATTTTTTTAAAAGTTCATTTTTATATGAAATTCTGATGCTTTATATCTTATTTTATGTTATAATTATTATCATTAAGTGTTATTTGTTGGATTATCACACAAACGTAGCTTGTAATTGCAAGAAACCTAGGTATATTTCACTACATTTCTCATATAAATCAAAATAAAACAAAAAGTAGTTGAACATAATTTAAAAAGAAATTTTAAAAGGGACATTAATTATCACCAATTTTCTATGTATTGTACAATATTCCATTCTTTGTAGAAAATTCAGAGGTTTGAGCTTCACGTCTTTCACACCTGTAATAGCATAAGCAAAAAATAGTAAATAATATTTAACTAGAGAAGAAATAAAAATCATCATTATCTTGTTTCATAGCACCAAATTTAATTTAATATTTTTATATAAATTTCTATATCTGTCATGTTGTAGGCTTATTGTGTTATTGGAAAATAAAGACTAATATCTGAAATATTTAATCTAATTCTATTTAATCTAATTCTATTTAATCTAATGTAATTCGTACCAAAATTGTATCTTTCCTAACTACTTGCGGCGAGATGGATGGTGCTATAACGTCGAGGGGTAAGCGTGGAATGATACCTTTCATGGAGGCCCACTGACCTTCGCAGAGTTCATGAAAAGTCAAACGCAGCAGTGACTGGCCGCCTAGTATACCTGGCCCCCTACATATTGCACCAGCTCCAAATTCCCAGATACTCCAATTACCTGTCATAATTAAAACCCGCTGTATCTGCAACGGATTGGTCAGATTCGCAAAACTGGCGAATCTTTTGCGCAGCCAAGAAGCAACATAAGAGGCACGACAATCGCAATGCCAGGGATTCTGACTCAGACGTACTTGCTGAATTGTGAATATGGCGTCCATACTACCGGCTGGCAAGAAGGAGAGGTCATTTGATTCCAGTTGTCTAAAAATTACGATATGGCAGAGAACAGAGAGAGAGAGAGAGAGAGGAGAGAAAAAAATATTATTTTTTTATTTATATATATATAAGCAAAAACAGATTTCTAATCTAAAAGTCGTAGTAAACAGATTTATAAAACAAATATATAAATTGAAATTTTATTTGTATATTTAAAAAAAAACTTGTTATGATATAAATATATAAGTAAAAAAGTTAAAAAATTTTGATGTTTTAAATAATATTAATTTTAAAGTAAGTAACATTACAATTAAGTATACAGAATTCTTAATATTGACTCACAGTTTCCGTAAATTTGGCGTGTCTTCAAAAACTCCCGACTGTAGTATCCTTAGTCGATTGGATTGCAAAAAAAGAGAAGTAAGATTGAACAAGCCGCGAAAGACACCTCTTACTAGAATTTCTATGCGATTGCCATAGAGAATAAGACGTTCCAAAGACATAGATTTATTAAATAATCCAGGTGGCAAATATTTCATATGATTATGTCCTATTCGAAGTTCTCGAAGCGCTGGCATACCGTGTAATGCTTTTGCATCAATCTATATAACAAAAATTCAAATTATTTAATCTTAAAGAGAAATAATTTTCTAAAACTTTATAATATGTTCCATAAATATATTATAAATACTTTTTATAACATTGTAATTCTTTAAAACAAAATTGAAATTTATAAAATGTAAACGATATTTACATGAGATATTCTATTGCTTGATATTTCTAGAATTTCTAATTGTGCCAGAGTTAATAATAATCCCTTGGGCAATTCCGTTAGTCGATTGTTCCGCATATTCAATTCTTTGAGAGACGTCAAATTTTTGAATATACCATTAGGCAGCTCTTTTAAACGATTTTCCTCAAGTGCAAGGCGTTTGAGATTAATAGTGTCTCGGAAAATTGAAACAGGTAATCCAGCTAATCGGTTTTTACCCAGCAATAATTCGTCAAGAGTTCCAAGGCCGTGAAATGCACCGGGAGGTAATAACGAAATGCGATTGGAGGAGAGATCCAGCAAAACCAGGTGACCATTGCTCAAGAAAAGATCTTCTGGCAAAGTACGGAGTTTATTTGACGACAAATCGCTATATAGAATAAAAAATGTGAATTAAATTTTTAATAAGTTTATAAAAAGACAAGAAATTGTGTCAATTTCCACTAAAAAAAAAATAAATATTAGTACAGCACATTTAATAATATTTTTTTACAAGATGCATTAAATATAATGAATTTTAATATAATTATAGAAGTATATATACAAAATACACTTCTATATGTTAAGCATTTAAACATTTTTTTTTTAACTTTCTAGCTAATTTTCTCAAAACAACTATTAAAAAATTATATGAAATTTCTACGAAAGTATTGATACTTTGAGTTAGTTCTTGTGTTTCTTTCTTAATTAATAGTACTAGTAATTAAGTATCCGACGTACAGTATTCGGAGATTCCTTAGTTCATAGAATTGATTGCGTTGCATTTCCTTCAACAGATTATTACTCAATCTGACATTTGCGATACCGTGCAACGACAGGAATAGGCTCGGTGCCAAATGCTCTATTAAATTACTGCTTAGATCTCTGTAATTCACAATTTCATTAGTACATTATACATGCATCTTTCGATTGTTACACAACTCACAGATGGTGCAACTGCGTCATATTCTTAAATGTGTCTCTGTGCAGAGCGCTGAGCCGATTACTTCCAAGGTCCCTGAAAAGGCACGCCAAACAAATAATTTTTATAAATTATATAAAGCATTTCTATCTTTAGGGTTTAACTCGATTACTTTCTAAAAAAGATCCGTCATTACATATCTGTTCAACAAACATGACGATATTATTTTTTAAATTGCTTACAGCCTTAACACATCGGCAGGGACCAATTGCATCGGAGGTAGATCCAGCAAATTGTATCTCCAACAGGACACCGATTTCATTTCCGGTACGCATTTGCACGGTCCTTCAGCACAGACCTCCCAGTCCTCCTCTTTCAGGCTGATCCGCCAAACTGCAAAAGCATGAGTGTCCTTTCGTGTCTCCGTCGTATATAAATCTCACGATTTTTACCGGGATGCTCAACCGCTCGCAATCTGCGTTCGAAACTGGACAGACGATTCTTTATCTCCTCAAAAATCGAGATTGATTCCTCCGAGAGGGCCGGCGTCGATGAATATTCCGTATCTGCGCTCATGTGAGATGTTTTATCTCAAGTTTCGCGATCGTGCATTTTGGAAATTGTAACGAAAATACGCGAAAAGAGGTATATAAAAAAAGTATAGTAGTTTTGTAAAATATAATTTTTCTATTCTTTTTAAGCGAAAAGATCTATCTTTCGAAATATATATTTTTTATTTTAGGATTTTTAAAATTAAAGAGTTTTTGAAATTTTAGACAAAAAGATACGCACATTTTCATAAATGATATTTTATAATCTCCATTTAATATTTTCAACTTCATACAGTATAATAATTATTAATACAATTTTGACTGGATTGCTTTTTGTATTCTTCAAATTTAATTCAAACTGTTAAAAATAATTGTAGGCGAATTTATTCAATTACCTGTAGAAATCCGCATACTTGCGGTGCACATATGTGAGACGAAAGAGTACGTATTCGTCTTGCACAATGAAAGGAAGACGATTACACAGTAAATTTTTGAAGATAAATCGGTCATGTCACGGACGGTTCGGACTAAACGACACATCATAGACGGGACAAAGTGCATCAGACTGGGGATGCAGTTCCCAAGTCAACTGTTGTTCTTCATTGCGCACAACCGCATCCTCATTAACTTGGACATTGATTTGGAAGGTAAACTTATTACAATGAAGATTGACAGACAATGGCCCC